AAAGAAATCTAAGGGTGTATCGGAAGTCCACCGAAAGATCGCCGGAAGGAAACTCAACATTGCTGGTTAAAAACCTGCTTAGGACTATGTCTTAATTTTATAATTTGCATATAATTAGGGTTAGGATTAAGAGTTAATCCTATAACCTGGTTATGGGCCAATTGGGCCCTAATATGAATTGGTTTGGGCCAAATTTAGAGCCCAGCTAGTGACCCGTAAGGACGGGTGATGGCACCGCCCAAAACCTGAAGGATTAAGTGGTGGTACTATCGGATTGGGTGGTGGCACCACCCAGCACCCGAAAGGTTGAGCGGTGGCACCGCTAGTAAACGGTCAATGTGACATTGACAGGCAGTGGCACCGCCACCTCTAGGAACCCTAAGGAATTCAAAATTTGAAGCCCAAATTTGAATCCTCTTGGGGTCTATAAATACCCCTCAATTCTAAACAGAGAAGGCACCTTTTTGAGAAGTTAGAAATTAAGGAAAAAGCTTTAGCAAAGTCTTATTTTTAATAGCTTAAGTGTTCACCTCCCTCTTTCTCTTTGAAAAATCTATAAGAGTGTGAACCACTTGTAAAAAGGTTGTAAGAGGGGTATTTGGTCCTTCCCTTCAAAGTGATTTGCTAGTGGAAGTTGGGAGCCTCATCGAAGAAGACTTCGCAAGTGGATGTAGGTTATTTGACTGAACCACTTTAAATTGCAGTGTTCCTTGAATGTGTGAGTGTTTAACTTTCTGAAACATTTATTTACTAAGCAGCAAACTTTCAGTTTTCATCTCCTTCCTTTACTCGAGCTATTTTTACTGAGTCATCCTTCGTCGAATCGAAATCTCTACACATTTATGAAATCGATTTCAAACTTACAAGTTTCAATCTGTTGTACTAATTCACCCCCCCCCCCCCTCTTAGTGCCGCTCTGATCCTAACAATCCATCTAATATTCTAAAGATCGTATACCAGGCATGATGCTGTTAGACCCATATGGTTTCTACTCTAGTTTCCCTCTAATCGGATTCTCCTAGAGTACTCTTTCTCTCTCAATCTGAATGATCTTAGCTAAGGATTTATCTGAGTAAGAACACATGGGACATTCCTCTCATAACACCGAGAGTGGATGATCCTATATCGACACTCAATAGCCCTTATAAGATTGATTACCACTCCCGATGACCGCCTATGCTAGATCTGGGGCATCCAAACTTATAAGTATAGCATCAAAGAGTGGAGCACTCATACAGGACATCCTTGGTGTCTCAAGTCTAAGGACCAGATACACCACTAGGACGATGGAATCGTTGTCTAACAATAAAGCATCATTAACCATTTAGCATTCCGCAAGCGGATCAATCAGTGAACTCACTCCCTAATGAGCACCTGTATTGTATCCCTAGTGTCCACACATGAGCAGCTATTAGACCAGCTGTATCCATTATATGGACGTGTATACAATACACCAGTCTGTCCGGTTATCTCGATGTCCCTCTCGAGTAACTTATGACCGGGATTATTTAAGATCTGTGTTTAAAGGCAAACTGGTCTCATTATCGTGATCTCTTCATGATCTGATTCTCATTGCATAGATCCAAGGACATCAATATATATATATATATATATATATATATATATATATATATATATATATATATAAT